ACTGCCTACGTTTGACTGCTGTTGACGTTAGAACAAAGACGTAAGGAATGATTATGCTATTGGCGTGTGGGCGGTCGGTCGGGCGCGTATCGCGTGTCAAGTGCTCGTCTGATCTTCCATTTAGGGTCGAGACGCCGACCTGCATCCTTCCTGCTTCGCCGACCTGCATTCATCCCTTACCATTTGCTCTGGGGCTATTCCTGAATCTCCTGCTGTTCCTTCCCCTGCTCTAGCTTCCTGTTGCTGCTGCTGGTCTTGTGTGCTTGACTGCTGCCTCGTGGAATCGTCCGCGCCGCCCTCTACTTCGACGACGCTGCTGCTGTCCGAAAGCAGGTCGTCATCTCCACCCAAGGGCAGCTTCCTCCCGATAATATCCATGAGGGATCTCCTGTGTGGTCTGTCGTGGTCTGTGGAGCAGGTGTCTGTGCTGCTGTGTCTTGGTTCGCTGCTTGGTTCTGGGTTTGTTGTGGGTTGGTTCTGGAGGCGTTTTCCATCCTGCAGCATTTCGTTGCAGGNGACGACGCTGCTGCTGTCCGAAAGCAGGTCGTCATCTCCACCCAAGGGCAGCTTCCTCCCGATAATATCCATGAGGGATCTCCTGTGTGGTCTGTCGTGGTCTGTGGAGCAGGTGTCTGTGTCTCACTGTGTTTCTGTGTGTCTTGGTTCGCTGCTTGGTTCTGGGTTTGTGGTGGGTTGGTTCTGGAGGCGTTTTCCATCCTGCAGCATTTCGTTGCAGGACCATCCTGCAAATAGGGTCTCCCGAGTCCGCGTGTACACCAAGGCTTGCGTACAAATTCTGTGCGCAAGCGGAGAATAACGCCTCCAGAACTACCCTTACAGAACCATTTTAATTCCTCCAGCGCACCAGCAGCAGCACACACACACACACACCAATGAAAAGACGTCAGTCTTAGTGCGGTTGAAAACACAAAACACTTTTATGTGCTGGGTTTTGAGACCACGGGCTCCCCATTTTTTGTGGACTAGTCTATAGTCTAGAGCTAATGTGAGAAACAACAACAACAACTGTCCTTTGATTTTTTCCTTAGGCGGGTGTGGGAAGCGTCCTCCTGTAGTCTACTTGGTTTGTGTTCAATTTTGATCGGTTTCCGAGGACTCTTTTCTCGAACGGTCGGTGCAGTACCTGTTATTTCCTTTTTATCATTTCGTTTTCTTTTCCCGAGTNGTCCGTTGTTCTGAAATGTTGGGATTTCCCGACTTGGAAATCGTAGATCGGCATGAAGCCACATTTCGGGGCGGGAACGGGAACTCGGGGCGCACAGCTCCGGTCAAGACCACCCTCACACCCCTGCTGCTGCTGTATTTTTCCCTCGGTGGTTCCGCCCTTCGAAGCAACCGGCCGAACTGCTGCAGCTTGCGGAGACGAAGGGTGAACATGGTATGTGTGTGCAGCAGCAGGAGATACGAGATGTCCCGGTTCGTAGTGTGCTAGCGGCCGGGTAAATATCCAGCAGTGGTAAGGGGTGCTGCACCGGAGTGCTTGCATGTGCAGGCGGCCTCCAACGTGATAACAACGCACCAACAATGCATCATCGGACGGCAGGTCAGACGAGGGAAAGTACAACTTCTGTACAGACTACTGTTATCGACTTTTGGCGGCAGTGACTAAAATCTCAGTCTACTGCTGTACAAGTTTCCGAGATGAAACGAGCAGTCGATGGCGGCGGGCTATGTACGTACTGTAGACTATATGCGCCATGCCTCGTGATGGACATATGCACAAGAGTATATACCTGCAGCAAAGTACTGTAGTGCAGGACCAGCCCACTCTGTCTCTCCTCTGGCATAAACGAGTAGGCCAGCCGATCAAGCACAGATTAGATATCATATCGCACCCAACCGTTATTTAGTCTACTGTGGTCTCAACCTACGGCTAGCAAGCGGGGACGTCCCATTGAGATTTCTCGCTGCCAAAGGTCAAGCCTCACTTTTGAATGGGGTGACACACACACTCGGTAGTTGCTATGTTAATGCGGTCTACTCTGGTGTGTTTACCCGTGGCCTCCTAACGAGAAGCATGATAATTGCACCCAGAGGCAGGTCAGACTCGTCTCCGTTTTCAATTTGAGGTCGAATATTTCCTGTCAAAACATATGAACATTTTATTGAGACTACCAAGGACCCGATTCGCAGGGTATCCGTCGACTGACTTTTCCCTGAATCGATACACCTTCGCAACTGCGTGTTATGGTAGTACAACCGTTGTATCAGAGCAATAACCCCGTTTTAAGGGTTGCCGTGCTCCAATAGCCGCGCCGCTGTCCAAATATCACACTGGCTGTTGTACGAGAACCTTGCTTTCGTAGACACCTTGGTTGGATGCGTTCTCGCACAGGTCAGCGGTGCGATGACAAAACTGCTGCAATCAAGGTGCAGGCGGCCGCACGTAGCGGGCACGCCTGCTTTGCTTAGCCTGAACCAAGAGGAAGCTCCACATCTAGAAACAAGTTCAGCAGAAAAAAAGATGGCAAAAATATTCCGGACAATGTCGCGCTGGAACCGTTGAGAACGGCGCTTCTTCAGTTCGCTCCAATTGATGCTCCAATTGATGCCGGCTCTGAAAATCGGCCTTCTGGCGGGTGAGTGTGATATCTTGTGTCATCTACGGTATGCACGAACAAAGTTTTACACGTCAGTATGACCACGAAAAAAAATACAACTCCTCGGTGAACTTAGGTAAAATGACCAGGAACACGAACAATATTTGAGCCATTCGTTGAGCGTTGCGACACTTCGGATGTTTTTCTGTTGCCGTAAGCGAAAAACAAAATGCAGTATAGTCTAAACATGACACCAATTCATATTTTTATGTAGGCACATGTATGTATGGTTTGACCTCGGCTACGGACACACCTGTTTTTTCACTAAAAAAGTAGGTGTCCTGAAGCCTGGGAAGTGTCTAGTAGCCCTCCTGGTGTTGTACATTCTGCGAGCCACCACGCGTGCCCGTGAAAAAAAGTTGTCCTCAACTGAGGAGGCCCTTTCCTTATTATTGTTGTCCCTATGCGGGGCACGACTGCTGTATAGGCACGATAAACACATCAACCCAAGCTTGAGCACCTACTCATGGCTTTGATTCAACGTTGACGTTTGGCATGGCCGTGCTTGTAATTCACCACAAGAAAACGTTCAGGTCGACAAGCGCCGCAACGTGTAGCAACGTCTTGTACTCCAGATATATATGGGTAGTAGGTCGGTTGCCGCCATGAAGACTACCTTACCTGTGCAATTCGTTTCTCTTTAAGTGGGGTGTGCGCACATCAGCGCGAGCAAACGCTGTTTGTTCATGATTGCAAAGCATTCTTGCCCTTTCCCGTTCCATACCCGCTAGTCACGGGTGCCGGCCACATTCACCCACATGTACTGTAGCACACGAGAGCGGCATTGTGGGCACAGCAGATCGTATAGAATGATAACAAGAGCTCGAACCCACCAAAAGCCCGGTTAATTGTCCCATTTCACCAACATTCAAACATGAACGAACGCCAACCCAGAGAAATCGGTGATTTTATGGAGGTCAGGATAGTATATGGTATTCTCATGCAGGTGGATACAGTCTTGTTTCAGGGAATAGTTGAATTGACAAATGGGTCTACGTAGGCTCGCCAAACTCTCCACTCTACCCTAGCTTGACTGCGTAGCTCGGCCCCACTTGGAATTCCTCCCGCAATCCATCAAAAGCAAACGCTAACCTCCGGTGGCAGGTGATAGGCACCACCTGCGTTTTCCCAGAGTCGAGGACTCCATAGGTCATTGACCAGGTTTCAAAAAATGTGTTGACAGCCGCCTTGCGAGCTTGCCCTTGCCGTTGCTAACACATCGCAAGACTCGTCGGGTGTTTGGGAAGCGTCCGATTACGAGGGTGTGGGGATCGCGGAGAGTCCGTCATCGGTTGGTGGTCTCGAGGTCCGGATGACATACACGCAGAGAAGCAGCAAGTCTCCGCGAAAACCGCCTCAGCTTGTGCCTTCTCCCCTCTCCGACGCGCATTTCGATTTGAATATCTATCTCTGCATGTGTCTTGGGTTTTCTTTCGCGAAAGCCCTTGCGTGTACAAATATTTGCTGAAGAAACTCGCACTGCGTTAATCGTAAAAACATCTTTGATTTAGGCAGTGTTCCATAATACATGGGTTCCTCCAGGAGAGTGGGGGTGATGTCTTCCGCGGTGTTTGTTTGTTGATGAAGGTTTCTTTTGTGGTCGGCGTAGCTCTGGTGTTCGCCAGGGTTTCGCGATTGTCGGAGTTTGTCTGCGAGATTCTGCCTGGTTCTGTCGCGAAGCCTGCATTCACAAACGGCAGTCAGGAGTATCGACGGTTCGAGGCTGTTCGGAGGTCTAGGCACAGGTTGTAGGGCATCACCGGTGAAAAAACAAACAAACCCACCTAAAAATATCTGTATTTGCCCTGCACCGTGCTGGTTCCAGCACAGCAAGTACCATGGTGGCCAGGTGCCATCAGAAACACACGGTTCAATGCCATCATGACTGGTTTCCGAATGACAACTACCATGCGATGGTTCCCGTGCTACACGTGTGATCCGATAATAACCAAGACGTCGCGAGGCGGTTGGGTTCGGATAACAAAACCGCCAGGGCACACCAGATTCTCTACTACATCTGGTTCAGCCGTTTGGAATTGGGGCCATTTCTGAGGATGTTAGGTGTGGGGAAGCTTTTTACTAAGGCCACAGACGATACCTCCGACCCATGATGGCCATACATCGTTTACCGCAAGCAACGTAAGACACCACACGTTACCACACCGTGTGTGCAGGAGAGGTGCGTACAGGGCGAGTCGTTTCCACGCCTTCTCCTCCATGGTAGTTGTTTGCTATTTTGCCCCCACCGCATGCCCGACGGCGTCGGCAACGAAAATTTCCCCGGTGCTCAACAATCCCCGCCCCACAAGATCATGTCCTGTCCCCAAGGCCCCCTCAAGTGTGCCTTCCCTGGTCGCTTCAGTCGACCGTCCATCGAGGTGGCACTGCTGGTAACCCCTTCCCTCCCGCGCTGTTTGTAAACCCCATGACCGCGGTTTGAATACCCAACGTAGCGTCCTCTTCTGAGGGTCAACAACAGAAATTTCAATAAAGGTTCAACATTTACAAAAGGTGCGATGCTTTTTGCAGCCATTGCCGCCAATTTAGCTCATTTTCTGCCTAAACGTTGGGAGCAGAGTTGGTCCGGTTCGCCCGCGTCTAGATTCACCGCGGGCTCCGATCCCCCCTCTATGATACAGATTCGCTCAAACGTGCGACGCCCAGTCAACACAGACGGAAGCTACGCCCGACGTTGGAAAGGAAGAAGACGAGGTTGGCCCATGGATGCGATCTTCCTCGCGCTTGCTGGCGTTTTGCTGACGGCTTCGTCAACGGCAGACGCGGCAGAGGCGGCCCCTGCTTTGGACTTGTCTTCTAGCCTACGGTATCAGTGCTGGGAAACCCACGGCGTTTTCGAGCGCGATTGCTTCCACGACGAGACGCTGACCCTGGACCCGTACCCCCTGACGCCGGAGATGTTCCCGCGGGCAATTCGGTATAGTACGTCCGACCTCACTTTGCACCGCGCCTTTCGCAGGGCGAGGGGTAGAGGGGTGCTGAAGGTCGTTGTTCTAGGGGGGAGTGTCACATTCGGACACGAATGCTCATCACCGGCAGGCCTCGAGGGGATCGCTTGTGCATGGCCCCATCGCGTGGAGCAGTGGTTTCAGGAAGAAAACGAAGACCTAGATATCGAGGTACAGAGTACCTACATGTGAGAGTGGTTGTCAATTGGGATTTGCACGCGCAGACGAATAAAAAAAATCTGGCCGAGACCACATCCCAGGACACACTCTCATGAGTTTTTTTTTTTCTTTTTTTCTCCCAACATTGGACTCTATCGTCTGCCCCTCTGGCCCCTATCCTCCACTTCTACCAGCTAGACGACCCAACCGGGGTCACATAGGAGGGGGGGGTTGGACCCCCTCCTGCGGTTCCTGCCTGAGATATTTTTATCGCGACAAGGGTACAGCAATCCCTTCCCTCGCGACCTAAGACGTCGATCAAGTTTACTAACAACGAGCTTTGCAGCGCATCGCTTCCAACGGAGACCAGGATTTAAATAGCGAGAAAAAGCTCACTCTGTCGGGACTCGAACCCATGACCTGGCCCTTAGCAGACTGCGAGGCTACCCACTAGACCCTGGAACTCTAACCCTATGTATTGTACCAAACTGATTGACAGGTACAGATTCATGGGCTAGGGTAAGGAATATTATTGTCCATTATCCCGACGTTGGCTACCATACTGATGCGTCCTCCTAAGTTGAAGTCAGTCGACCCCTTTTCGAGCGCATCCGGAAGTCGAAAGATTATTTGTTAAGAATGCGAATCCATCCTACCGCCTCCACCCCTCTCTTCACGCAACACCCTTGTCAAACGCCAACATGCTGATAGGTCACGAACGCGAGTATTCCCGGATTTGGAGTAATGCAATTTCTCCTTAAACGTCTGGACAAGACCCTACCAGTGGACTTGGAGGTGAGAAAGGGGGAATCCGGTGGGGTATTCAACTTGAGCGCTGTTTGTCTTGGCCTCGATATGCTCGAGAGGGCAAAAATGGGATGCATTATACCGTATACCACGAGCGATGATACATTCATATTGCTGTAGCAAAGACGCAACAGAATGCTACTGCGACCACTTGTAACCCTAACCCTAATTGTGTAAGGACTGATGTGGTAGAAAATCAATGATGGTCCATCAGTTTCTAGCAATGATGGGCACGTATATGCCCTACTTGCGCACCACCGTAACCCCCCCCATTGTTGCACGGCGGATCCAGGTTGACCTCATCATCGTCGACTTTGGAGTCAATGACGCGGTCATCGAACTATTCGAGTACAACCTGGAGCACTTGAAGATGGCGCACGAACTACTCATCCGCTACATCAGATACACAATGTTCCACTCGCCAGCGCTTCTCTACGCGGAGAGTTTCATCGCACCATCCCGAACCCTTCAAGTCCCGTGGCAAAGCGAAAACATGGCGGAGGCGCACGCCAGCGTAACACGAAAGCACGACATTCCCATGGTGAGTTAGTTGTTGCAGTTGCGTGATTTCTACAAGCACTTGGTTTCGACATGTGGTGGGAGGGATTCTGAACAGTCAAAGTCCTGGAGCGGTAAATGACGCTCGTAGTAAACTCGCGACTCCCAGTACAAAATATCTTGGTTCGATGTCGATTGCAGCAAGGACGGTAGCACATTCTTCAAAGTAGCTTTGATTCAACAATAAGCCGACACTCGAAGGCCGCCCAAGAGCCTTAAGATGAGATCATGGCCGAGGACGGTAAGAAACTTCCGCCACGAACGTTTGGCGTTGAGGACAGGGTTCCGAAAACCGTTTGAAGAACCATCGCAGCGTCCGCAGCAGAGTGAGTTATCTCCGTTACACCTCCATGGCGGGGACATGGCAGCTCGTGAATTTCTTTGCCCGTCACAGTACGAGGACGGCGATTCGCTAGGCAGCGGGAAAGGAACCTTAGCAAGAGGACTTCACGATCTCGCCTCTCTTCGTACGACTGTCTCTTTGCACTCAACTCTTGGTCACACAAAGGTGTCCTTCCGGGATGCGGTTTGGCCGCAGAAGGAAGATTACGCCGCTGCAGAGGTCATCTGGGGACACTCGGTCCATCCTGATTGGCAAGTGCACCAGCTCATGNAGTTCTTTGCCCGTCACAGTACGAGGACGGCGATTCGCTAGGCAGCGAGAAAGGAACCTTAGCAAGAGGACTTCACGATCTCGCCTCTGTTCGTACGACTGTCTCTTTGCACTCAACTCTTGGTCACACAAAGGTGTCCTTCCGGGATGCGGTTTGGCCGCAGAAGGAAGATTACGCCGCTGCAGAGGTCATCTGGGGACACTCGGTCCATCCTGATTGGCAAGTGCACCAGCTCATGGCCGATGTCGTGGCGTACTACCTTCAGCTATCGTACGCTCGGTTCTTGGAGGTGAGGGTTACACCAACATAGACATGGAAGAAGGGTGTTTGGTGTTTCTGCGCTCAAGGTTCGGGAATGTGCGCACTATATGCTTTTGACGTACGATCTAGGTCCGTGTTGCGTGACATCCTACCAAGCCATTTGGGGCACGCTCGCTGTGCCATAGCTTAGGATTCGATTGGTATTTGGAAGAAAGTGCTCACATCGCTCCAGCGCCGGGGTGAGCTTTGGTGCCAAATCCATATCATTGTGCTGCCCCGCTTGTATCATCGACCGACCAACGGAAACAGGTGTATGGCCCGTCATCGAACCCTAGCCCCAGCGAGAGGGAACTCCAGCGATTTAAGAGTGGGATGGGCTGCCTCGCGAATCCTCGTTCAGCCATTCTTCAGCTAGACAAGTACTTGGACGCCCCACCCCCGGAAGAGCTGGTGTCAGTTTCAGGATCGTCGGTCTCGGGGGACGCTGGACCGACAGGGTTCAGGAAAGATGCCACCGATCCGGCGGTGGCGACGTTCGACCTTGTTTGTGACGGTGGCGTGGGGCTTCTAGACATGGAGTACCTTGTGAGCTACGAGGGTATGGGTTCGGCCATGGTTGAGATTGAGGCCGGGCCAACAGCGGAAGATGTACAGGACGAGGGAAATAGCAGCACGTCAACCGTGATTGTCGATGGGCTGTGGGATTCGCACGCCTCGGTTCCCTCTTTTGAGACCATTCCTATTCCTGATGCGGGTGGAGGGAGACATGTTCGAGTATCTATTCGTATTATGTCGGCCGAAGGGGAACGTTCGTCCTCTTCCTCCCGCCTTTTCGACTTCAAGGGTGATTTAGACAGAGAGAAAGAAGTGCGAGGAGACCGCAAGTTTAAGCTTATCAGCTTGCAGTGCTGTTGAGCTGGTTGATCGGTATTGTTGTGCTCAGTAATGAAATTATCGCGACAACATGTCCCATGTGGTGCGTTTATAGTAATGTAACCAATGCTGGGTACCAGGAGTGGACGTTGAGGTCCTGCAACCATTCGAGTTATAAGGCGTAACAGTCGTTCTGCTTGCGCGAGGAATCCAACAAATTAGCCGCTTGCGAAGGTGTACCGATTCAGGTAAAAGTCAATCGACGGATACCCCGCGAATCGGGTCCTTCTTAATAGGTACACCTTTGAATTGTCTATCCCATCCCTTTAGATTAAAACCGGGTAGTACGCGCGTATCACAACCGGAGGAATGAGGGTGGCNCAACAAATTAGCCGCTTGCGAAGGTGTACCGATTCAGGTAAAAGTCAATCGACGGATATCCCGCGAATCGGGTCCTTCTTAATAGGTACACCTTTGAATTGTCTATCCTATCCCTTTAGTTTAAAACCGGGTAGTACGCGCGTATCACAACCGGAGGAATGAGGGTGGCTACGTGAGAGAGTCCAAATTACGGTGACGAAACTCAAAAACCCAACCAAATTTCCGAATGAATACGGCCTTTGATACTGGACGCGACGCAAAGTGAAAGCTCAACGCAATTTAAGATAACGTGAACGAAGGGCAGGAGAAAAGAACGACAGGCGAAGGCAAGGAGAACGATTGCCAGGGTGCCGAACTCGTATACGGAGACGGCAAGGGCAAGACCTAATAAGGACCAAGGACGCAAAGCACTAATGATTAACGCAAGAGAGGCGGTCTGACGAACTGCGCAAGGCTCGCTGGCGATACGCATCATACAAAGAAATAAAATACATAAAAGTCGTAAAGAGATAGACCCAGCAAGATGACGACTCAGGGGCGCGACGGTGATGAAAGCGTCGCCCGAAAGGTGGCAATGATAGAGACGAAGCAGAACGAAGTGTGGGTGACGACGAAAATACACGGGAGAAGGCGACGCAACGGGATGGAATCCCGAATCACCAAGCGTATGCGACACTTCTGCGGCACGATGGAGCTAAAACAAAGAACTTTGAGACAAACATTAGCTGGCAAACAGGCGAACAAGGAGAACGCGGGGAACTCGCTGTCGAAGTGTCTTGAGGCGGCGTTGCCCCAGCGTCCAAAACAAAAAATAAGACCAAGAAAATAGACAGGACAGAAAAAAAAAAAACGGAAGGTGATAGAAAAAAAAAAAAACGTCGGCGAGAAGGATGGCATAAAAGACCAAAATAGGCCGACTGGTTTATGAAAACGACAACGCTAAGAAAGAATGGTGGGAACAGCCGACGGTAAGGAGTCAGTAAGAAGCGGAGTGCGACCACGGTTGTAGCCCAGAGGGCGCGAACGACGTTTCTCTAAACACCATGATCCACAGACGGCGTCCGAGGCGGTGGAGTAGAGGTGCGCAGGCAGAGCGAGAACGCTTGGGCCCGGGTCATGTAAGAATCGAACGATGTACGAGCCGTCCGGGTGAGCACCAACACGTCCGATCCACCACATTCCATCACGGGCCTTGTACCACAGCCACGCGCCGACAGGGAGGGGCGAAGCGCTGAAACGACGAAGCCAAGTGGCGTGAAGCACAAGATCAGCCCCAGGAGGCAAATAGCGTTCTCCACGATTCCGGGCTAGCTCCCGCTGTGCCGCGCGAATCCGAGCCACTCGATATGTACGATTACCCTGCATGCTTTGGCAGACCTCCCGGGACCAGTACAAGAGGATGTGTCGACGCAATTGATCGAGGTCGGATTCCCATTCCCATGAAGGAGTAGTCAGGCCTAACCAATGGGTCTGGTACAGGACAGCGAGAACGCCGCCACGGCCCCGCACCAGTTGATGTCCCGAGATGTAGTCGACCTCGAGGCGCCCGACAGGCACCGACACATCATCCGCGGTTACGTGCAACGGTGTACATTTATCTCCGAACGAGTGCAGAACATAACGCGAAAGCTCTGCGGGTAGGTAAAGGCAGAAGAAAATCCGCTTTGCCGTTTGCGGAACCTTCCCGATATTTTAGGGTGTAGGTGAAGTTGGATAGGAATTCGAGCCATCGTTGCACCCTAGCGTTTTGTTCCCCAACCTTGCCAATGCTCTCCAAGGCTTTGTTGTCCGAATAGATGATGAACTTGGTCGACCACAGATAACCGCGAAGGCGTTTGATGGCCCAAACAATGCCACCGGCCTCCAGATCTAGAACGGTCCAGTTACGCTCGGCAGGGAGAGTAGCGCGGCTGGTGTACTCAAGGGGTCTCACCGAGCCATCGAGTTGTTCTTGTTCCAAGGAGGCGCCAAAGCCGTCGGTACACGCGTCGGAACACAAACGGAGAGGACGGCTGTTGTCCTCGATTGCTGCCTAATCCGTGAAGACCAAAATCGGGGGACGAGCGAGTTCGCTCAACAACGTTTTGACAACCTTGACCATGCCCGGGGTGTACTTGAAGGGAACGTCCTGTTTGAGAAGAGAGTCGAGAGGCCGCACCTTGGTGGCGAGATTCTTGAGGAATTTCCGGTAGTAACTGAGTCCACCGAGAAGGCTCCGAAGCTGCTTAACATTCGTCGTCGGCGGCATCTGCGTTAGCGCCCTAACCTTGACGCCATCAGGGCTAACACCGGCCGGAGAGATGATGTGACCGAGAAAATTGGCGTGTGTGGCGCCGACGCGAGCCTTCTCCGGAGACGGTTTGAGGTTTTACTGTCGCAGCCGTTTGAAGAACCCTATCAGGTTGAGCACGTGTCCCAGAGGTTCCTCATCGAAACAGATGACATCGTGCAGAAACGCAAGCACACGCTCCAGAGCGTGCACCACTCTGCTGATGACCTTGACGATCCAAGACGGACTTGCGTTGGCTCCCTGCGGCATTCGAAGCCATTCGAACNGGGGACGAGCGAGTTCGCTCAACAACGTTTTGACAACCTTGACCATGCCCGGGGTGTACTTGAAGGGAACGTCCTGTTTGAGAAGAGAGTCGAGAGGCCGCACCTTGGTGGCGAGATTCTTGAGGAATTTCCGGTAGTAACTGAGTCCACCGAGAAGGCTCCGAAGCTGCTTAACATTCGTCGTCGGCGGCATCTGCGTTAGCGCCCTAACCTTGACGCCATCAGGGCTAACACCGGCCGGAGAGATGATGTGATCGAGAAAGTTGGCGTGTGTGGCGCCGACGCGAGCCTTCTCCGGAGACGGTTTGAGGTCTTACTGTCGCAGCCGTTTGAAGAACCCTATCAGGTTGACCACGTGTCCCAGAGGTTCCTCATCGAAACAGATGACATCGTGCAGAAACGCAAGCACACGCTCCAGAGCGTGCACCACTCTGCTGATGACCTTGACGATCCAAGACGGACTTGCGTTGGCTCCCTGCGGCATTCGAAGCCATTCGAACAACTGCGTGGGAGTGCAAAAGGCGGTGAGCGGGACAGCGTCTTCATCGCAAACAATCTGTTGGAAAGCCGAGTTGAGGTCGAAGATGGAGAACACTTTCCCGGTGTACAGAGAATCCAAGATACCGTCCACTCGAGGGAGAGGTTGTCCATCCAAATCCACCAGGGCGTTGAGACGCTTGTATTTGACGATGATGCGAACCGATCCGTCCTTCTTGGGGATGACGACCAAAGGAGAACCCAACGAAGACGTGGAATGCTGAAGAAGCCCTGCCGCCAAATACTGGTCCAANGATGATGCGAACCGATCCCTCCTTCTTGGGGATGACGACCAAAGGAGAAGCCTACGAAGACGTGGAATGCTGAAGAAGCCCTGCCGCCAAATACTGGTCCAAAATGGCATCCACTTTCTTTTGCATCAACGGGTTGATACGATGCGGGCTTGATGCCACGGGGACAGAAAGAGTGAACGGCATGATTGTGCAGGAACCAAAATCGGTTTTCGAAGTAGAGAACACGTCAGAATACTCCACAAGTGCGTCGGCCAAACGATCAAGAGCCTCCGGCGTCCATCCCGGATTGTATAGATCGAAAGCGATATCGTGCATATGTGCGGGCAGCCTGGCCCACAAGCGCATGAAGCTGGAGCGCTGTGCCTCAGAAAAGCGGTCAAGTAGTTCTTGTGGAAGCGGCTTCAGGGGAGGTGGGGCGGAGGCTGGGTCCGTAGAGCGGTGAGTCCCGGACTTGAGGCCAACGACGTTGACCCGAGGTGGTGATGTAGAGGTTGTGGGGCCGGTAGGAATCGGAGTTGGTGCCGCCTTCAGGGTTCCCACCGGTACTCGTAGCAGAGGCGCGGCAGACACTCCAATAACGTCTCCCGGCTCCAGCTCGGCACAACCTGCAAGGGGAATACGTTGGAGACCATTGGAAACGAACGCATCTGGGGACGAAAGCGCACCCACTGCGGGTTTGAAAGATACCAGATACTCTCCGATCAGCGCAGGCATGCCAGAAGAACGAACCAGGTCCACCTCAGCGAGTGCAGGCTCCGGCCCCAAGGAAATTCCCGAACTTTCTGCATTTTTAGGTTAAACGAAGAGGCAGGAGCGTCGTCGTGTGTAGCGTAAACACAAGCGCCAGCTGTAAAACGCGGAGAGAGCTTGAGCTCGCCCATAACCCAGCCGTCCGGTCCAGGGTGGGGGACGGTGGTGAACACGCGAGAGTTGAAGCGCATCCAACTATCTCGACCCAGAAGCACGGCGTGCCCCATGGCGGCGTCCGGAACAACACAGGCCAAGACCGCCAAGCGAGCGGTACCTCTATCTCCATGAAGAAAATTAACGGTGAGACGAATATACCGGGTGGTCACAAGAGCGGGTCCATCACCAAACCCACCCCAACGACGNCGAGCGGTACCTCTATCTCCATGAAAAAAATTAACGGTGAGACGAATATACCGGGTGGTCACACGAGCGGGTCCATCACCAAACCCACCCAAACGACGAGAGGGCGAAACACGAACACTGCCAGCGGTCAAAGCTCCAGCAGCTATCATGGCGGTGATTACGGAGTCGGACACGAAGGATGCAGGAGACCCAGAGTCCAGCAGCGCCACTCGCGCGAGTTGAGGAGTGGCTGTCGGTCCTCCATGCAGCAGAACCCGCGTGGCGTATGAGTCCGAGTCCAGCACTAGCGTGCCGCCTACCAGATCGGGCCCGTGTTCCAGAAGGGGAGGTTGGTTTGCACAAGCGGAGGTCGATGCCACCAGATGAACGCCAGGAGCATGATCCCCCTGAGCGTCCAAACGGAGACGAGCTGGGTCTTCGCGCCGGTCCTCTCGTGACGACGAAGCTGCTGCAGTAACAACCTCGTGGATTCGTCGATGTCCATGGAGAAGAGGCTGCGAAATGGGGGGCCTGAGAGAAGTGGAAGCGGAGAGATCTTCGCCAGACAGGGGATGATCACGCAAACGGTGTCGAACTTCCATCAAAGCTTTTCCCAACAAGTTTTCACCGCTAGCCGTCCACTTGGATGAAACGCTAGCCTCTAGAAAGCATGCAGACATGCCGATACCTCAAACACGATCCAAGGAGCTGGCTTCCGCAAGGAGGCGGATACCCGTCTCCAGTAACTGATGTTTCATGTCATCGTTTTGGGCAAATTTAGCGTCCGGCCCCGTAAGCACGAGGTCTTCTCGGCGACTCTCCCATTCAGCATAGTCGAAAGGATGCACGTTACGACCCAAAACTTGTGTGTCGTAGGATCGGTTGTAGCCATGATTTGTCATTCGACGTCATATCCCCAAACAACTTCGCTTCAAACAACTTCGCTTCAAACAACTTCGCTTTTTCAGACATAATAAATTGCTCACCACATGAATAAGGTACCCCCAGTACGTCAAAAGCCGAAGGAGTCCATTGCTGTGTTTGTCATCAAACGGCGGAGCCGGTGCAGGGCGAAGGGGCCAAGAGCGGGCACAAGGCACAGGCGGGGGTGGACCAAGCGGACGGTTCCTCATCTCCGACGGAGAGGATCCAGAAAGCGACGCAGGAGCGGGTAAAGTCGCAACGCACCGTGATCCGGAGGGCGGCCTAAGGGCGACGGTTCGGGCGGAATCAATGTGAGCAGAGGTAATTCGGCTATTAGAGACCCGTTCGTTAGAAGAAGTCATTCCTGCGGCAGACGGATGTTTATTAATTGACGCAGGGCGCTCTTGACTACTCCCCCNCAAACGGCGGAGCCGGTGCAGGGCGAAGGGGCCAAGAGCGGGCACAAGGCACAGGCGGGGGTGGACCAAGCGGACGGTTCCTCATCTCCGACGGAGAGGATCCAGAAAGCGACGCAGGAGCGGGTAAAGTCGCAACGCACCGTGATCCGGAGGGCGGCCTAAGGGCGACGGTTCGGGCGGAATCAATGTGAGCAGAGGTCATTCGGCTATTAGAGACCCGTTCGTTAGAAGAAGTCATTCCTGCAGCAGACGGATGTTTACTAATTGACGCAGGGCGCTCTTGACTACTCCCCCTTGACAAAGGAGCCGAACCTTCCACAGAACGGTGGGCACTACCATCCGATCCCGATGGCAGTGGTGCAGTCAGCACGTGGTGGGCAGCAGAGGAAGCCGCATTTGTATCAGGTGCTGTCACACGGAGGCAGCGGACGGTCAAAGACAACGAAAGCTGCGAAAGAGAAGGAGGATCGACGGGGTTCCCGACGAGTGTAGAAGAAGGCTCGTGTGCTGTCCGACAAGAGTCCCGGCTGACAACATCAGGAAAGCCTTGACGAACAGTACAAGACAAGGTTCTTGTTCCTTCTGTAACCCGAGACGACGAGGTGAGCAGGGATGAACCGCTCGACTTCCTACCTCCCTGTCGCCAACACCACAAAGGTACTGCCGAGGTGGGTTTGTCAAGTCCATTACGAGCAGACGATGAGGCGGACACCGAGGAGGCGGGCCGAAAAAAAGTAGCTGTCCACGAACATCTTGGGAGACTCCACAAGGGTACACGGTGGTTGCTGTTGACGGTAGTACTGGCTGATCTCGGCCATCGGCTTGTCATTTCTTACCCCTCCAGCCCCTTTTAGCCGAAGTGTAAGCCTCCGACGAGTGCTCAGTGTGTGAGAGCTGTTTCGAGTCCAATCTGTCGGATGAGCGGCGGGCGCGTCCTGAGGANCTTCCTACCTCCCTGTCGCCAACACCACAAAGGTACTGCCGAGGTGGGTTTGTCAAGTCCATTACGAGCAGACGATGAGGCGGACACCGAGGAGGCGGGCCGAAAAAAAGTAGCTGTCCACGAACATCTTGGGAGACTCCACAAGGGTACACGGTGGTTGCTGTTGACGGTAGTACTGGCTGATCTCGGCCATCGGCTTGTCATTTCTTACCCCTCCAGCCCCTTTTAGCCGAAGTGGAAGCCTCCGACGAGTGCTCAGTGTGTGAGGGCTGTTTCGAGTCCAATCTGTCGGATGAGCGGCGGGCGCGTCCTGAGGAGTGATTTCGGTGTGGGTTGCGTCCTGTAGGGCGTCTATACGAGGTCATGCGCTTTTTCCACCGACCCCAAAGTGTGGGATCATTTTCCATATAAAACTTGATGTCATTGTTAAGCATGCCGTTGCCGTTCACGAAGCCACGATTTCAGGATTTGAAGGAGTGGCCTTCTCCTAAGCAGTTGAGGCACTTGCCCTTGTACAGTCGAAGCGCGTTGCTTCGTTCGTCAGCCAAGACCAAGGGGGTGAACAATGTCGGATCATTCTTGGTTAGAGCCATCTCACTAGCGACATTACACCTGCCCAGACACTACCGGAAACTGCTTTAACACGGAGTTTCGAACAGCTATCTGCACTTGCGCATCCGAAGGCTTGAACGCGTGGTGAGAAACCATGACGGTCATGGCCAGAGCCTTAAAGCGACGAATGTATTCTCCGAAAGTCTCGCCGTTGGACACGCCAAAACTGCGAAGACGATCAATCCCCGAGCTCTTGTCTTGAGTGTTCCAAGCAGCCGCCAATTTCTGGATGAAGGAGGCGTACGTCGAGGGCCCTGCCGATTCCTTGCGCAGATGGTTTTCTACCTGTAGGAAGGTGGCATCAAGAAATTCCAGCGTGGCACGGTCGGTGATTGGGCCTTCAACGACAGCAGCACGGACACGTTTGCGCAACAACGGAAGCCATCCGGTGACCCAGGTGGAGATATTGAAAGTCTGCTTGCGCTTGACGTCGCTTGTGTTGAGGATCTCTGTGACCACACCCTTGCAGCTAGACGCGAAACAAGCAAATTAATCAGGATCAGGACACTATCAAGTTGTTCCGGCTTCAACTTGTGCATCTTTTCTTGAATGCGGATGGTGTTGGCCTCCGCTGCAGTGGCGTCCGCAGCGTCCAGAGCCTCCTGCCTCGCTCTCGCCGCCGTGGAAGACAAAGGAAAACCAGCATCGTCCTGAGTCAACGGCGATGTTGCTTGACCCGGTGGGTCGACGATGTGGCCGGTCGCAGAGCTAGGATCAATCTGAACAGACGCGCGCTGGAGGGGGAGGGGCGGTACCACCAAAGGCTGTTGCGACAGGGCTGGGGCTGCCGACGCGGACGGTACCACCGTAGATCCAACAGGTACAGCCGCCGACATCGTGGCTGATGACGATGACCCTGACGTGGCCCTTACAGCGGTTTCGGCACGAACATCGCGCTCACAGGAGCTCCCGAAAAGCTCGAAGCGTGGTCTTGCAGCGGTGTCAGATGCGTTCTTGGGGAAAAAGATGGGGCAGGTGGTGGCACATTAGGAGCGTGAGAGGGCCCAGGAGGTGGTACACTCGTGTCGGCAGCAGCATCCACTACTTGACCAGGCGTTTGCGCTCGCAGGAGAGTGAGTACTTGTTCTAACAGCATTCCAGCACGGGAAGCCGAAGTCGAGGCGTGTGATGTAGCATGGCGTGGTGACACAACACGTTCGTCCAAAGGCAAGGAAGAGGTGGGATGATCCATAACGGCATGGGAAGGGGCATGGCTGTTCACGGCGGCTGAGTGTTCACAAAGTTGCATGTCGGCAAGTTTGAACAGCAAAGAAGACATGGTCGGTTGGCCTACAACAGCGGGCGGGCGTAGAACAAGCGGCGAAGAACAGAGGGAACCGTCTTCTGAAGCATCCTTGTTTTCCAACAACCCAGAGTTTCTAAAACCACCCACCCTGATCATACATCACTTGCATGTTACCGTGGCCTGACTTCCGTCCCCCTTTTCCGCCGCGACCGATGTCAGTGCTGGTCGCCCAGCTGTTGCCCCCGCTCCGGTTGTGGCTCCGGCTGCGGCTACGCCTAGACGAAGGCGTGTTGCTCCCACGACGGTCTCCGCTCCGGCTGCGACCACGCCTCGACGAAGGATTGGTGCGCTGGTGACGTTCTGCGCTCCTTCTCCTGCTCCTGCGGTGGCGGCTCGCCGGGGAAGGCCTGGTAGGCTGGGTCCCCGCGGCTTGCCCTCGCCCGCCATCTCCGGTGCCGCGCCCTCGCGAAGACCGGGTGGAGTGGCGGTGGTCGTCCGTCTCGCTCTTGGCCCTCAAATCTTGGTCACCCCAACGGTCCTTCCAGTTCTTAGACGCAGCAGCTGCCGACCAACTGTAGTCCTTGTCCCCTCCAGGAACATGGGCAGGGCGTGAAGAGGACGGACGGAAGGCCTGCAGACCGTGCTTGAAATCAGTGGTCGAGGCCGCGCGAGCAAGATGCAGCTGGGGTCACCATCGTGGGTCACCATCGACGTTCCTTGAGGGCCGCTACGAAAGGTGGCATGACGGAGAGCGAACAAAAGCCGGAACACGGACTGCCGAAGAGAAGGCGGAACTTCGCGATCTAGGGGGCAAAAAAAATGTGCCCGGATGCAACGGTGTGGGAGTGGGGAAATTGAGCAATAACGAGTTGTTTGACGCCAGCCCATGCAAAAAGAGCTTTCAGTGTATCCTCATGGTGAAAAGTTACGCCTTCTGTAAGGCTTACCCCATTACACTCCTCTGTTAGCGCTGACTGAGTAGTCTAATGGGGTAAGCCTTACTATTAAAGGATACACGCACGGGTTCGAAACCCGGGCTGGTCACTTTCACAAGCACCCTTACTTCTTTTCCTGCAGCGCCTGGCGAGGGGCCCGTCCCCGGAGATCTCTACTTCTAAATTCCAAGTGACCCGCCGGGTGGGTACGAGCCGAGAGCATATCTTTAGTTAGAAGGGCTTACCCCATTAGACTACTCAGTCTAACAACAGNGGAATTTAGAAGTAGAGATCTCCGGGGACGGACCCCTCGCCAGGCGCTGCAGGAAAAGAAGTAAGGGTGCTTGTGAAAGTGACCAGCCCGGGGTTCGAACCCGTGTGTGTATCCTTTATTAGTAAGGCGTACCCGATTAGACTACTCAGTCAGCGCCTTTGTTTGTAAGGCTTACCCCATTACACTCCTCTGTCAGCGCTGACTGAGTAGTCTAATGGGGTAAGCCTTACTAGTAAAGGATACACGCACGGGTTCGAAACCCGGGCTGGTCACTTTCACAAGCACCCTTACTTCTTTTCCTGCAGCGCCTGGCGAGGGGCCCGTCCCCGGAGATCTCTACTTCTAAATTCCAAGTGACCCGCCGGGTGGGTACGAGCCGAGAGCATATCTTTAGTTAGAAGGGCTTACCCCATTAGACTACTCAGTCTAACAACAGAAAAGTACTTCTCTAGCCGAACCCGTTTAACAAGGTTTTCGTGTGATTGAGAGCGAAGTTTCTGATTGAGAGAGAGATCGCGCGATGCGCTGTAGCTGGACTACCGCTGAGAGGTGGAGCTTGCTGCGTGACTTGAATTGAAGGCCTAGCCCGTAGCTACAAGCCGATACCCTGGTCATCCTGTGGGCGTCTCTCGTTGTGGAGCTACAGCGGGGAGCAGAATCTACAGCAGAGCTCACCGCCCGCGATCAAATCGCCCTGAAACAGTTTGAGGCAGGAATAGCCAATCTGGGGAAATCTAGCAACTTGTCTAGCTCCTAGCTGCAGCATCCGATCGCGATGACACGCATATGCTCGTGACGCTGCTGATGAGACCTTCAATTTGCGCCGCTTCTTGGAAGAGCCCGCCCCCTACTTCCCAAGAAATGGCAAGAGGCGTCTGGACCCGAAATTTCATTTTTTTTTGGCTCCCGCTCTCAATCGTATACTCCTCTCTCAATCGGGCGAAAACCCTGTTGTTTGTAGCTAACCTCACCTCGGGATCTCGCATGATATCAGCACGCTAGCGACAGGAGGAAGATTCGGGGGACGTGACGCCGCTTCCGGTGGGAGGGGAAGGGGCCCTTTTCACCAGGGACCGCCGGGCAGCAACCTCCCCGCCTACCTTGTACCTCAGCAAGGCTACGACTTCCCGGGCTGGTCACTTTCACAAGCACCCTTACTTCTTTTCCTGCAGCGCCCGGCGAGGGGTCCGTCCCCGGAGATCGCTACTTCTAAATTCCAAGTGACCCGCCGGGTGGCTACGAGCCGAGAGCATTTGTTTAGTTAGAAGGGCTTACGCCATTAGACTACTCAGTCTACCAACAGAAAAGTACTTCTCTAGCCGAACCCGTTTAACAAGGTTTTCGTGTGATTGAGAGCGAAGTTTCTGATT